AGGGCTGGAAAGGACCTTGCAAGGTGTGGTCCAACCCCCTATCTGAGGCATGATCTTCCCTATCCAAACCATCCTAGACAAATCTATTGTTTAAACTCTTAGCAAAATTGCACACTTAACCCTGACATAACACAAGACATAACACCCAAATCTGCCACTGGTGAAGCATGGGGACCATGTTGGCCAATATCCTGCAGCTGCAAAAGTTGTTAAGAATTTGCTCAAGAGAACCCAGAAAGAGGGCCTCATCCCTTACTACAGAGGAAGGCAAAAACCCCACAGTCTGCACCAATCTGACCATGGGGTAAAATTCCTTCCTGACCACACAAATGGCAATTGGTCTGACCCCAAGCAGAGGGGCAAGACTCTCTAGCCAGGAAGTTTTAAGTCCCAGCAGCAGCACTGATGCACCCCAGCCAAAATCCCCAGCCTTGGCTGCAGCCAACACCCTCTGCTTCTGAGAAAAGACTAAAAAACAAATACAAAAGCAAACAAACAAAACCCTCTGTACCAGCAGGAGGGAAAATGTTCTCCTCCTGACCAATGCAGCAACCACCAAAGCCCAGGACCATGGGCTCTGCCCCAGGCACTTGCTGCACAAGGCAGGGGTTGGTGTGGGAGGGACCTTCCAGCCAGGGCTCAGGAGCAGGAGCTTCTAGTCCTCTTCCCTTATCTGGGAGCTGGCCTACTTTCCCCCCCCCCGCCCCTGCTTCCTTCTTCCCCCACACTCCCATCTCTGCAACATTGCCTCTTCTTACTCTCATATTTTATCTCGCAACTGACTGTGTCTGACTTGTCTTCTTTGGAGAACGTCCCAGGGGTGGGGTTAATTAAACTGGGGTGAACTGGGGTTAATTAAACTGGGGTCCTATAAATTTACAGGCACAAGAGCCCTTAGGATGAGCTTTGGAGAAGGAATTTGCTCCTTTTCCCCAGGTGCTTTTGCAAACAAGGTGCAGAAGCCCTGTGTGCGCTATCCTAGGCTTGCACGTATCTTGAGTGACCCTTTGCTGGCCCTGGGAGAGGGGAACACAATGGCTCCAGGAAGTTGTGGCACCAGCAGTAGGAGTGGCCAGAGAGACACTAGAAAGCAGACTCCTTTCCGCTTTTCAGATAGAGGTTTGCCTTCTTTGCCGGGAGATCCTGTTGTAAAAGCAGATTTTGCAAGGAAGCGGGTAAATTCAGGGCTTCAACCCAGGCCAGCACCTTCCTCAGATGGTGCTTGTTCTTTTTTTGGAACAATTTCAGGTCAACTTTTAACCCAGGAAGTTGCTTCATGATATGATGGGAACCAGTTCTCAGACTGTTTCATAACTGAGATGAGGGCACATTTCAGTACTGTGGGCTCTAACCATAGCTCTGTTGGTCTTCCATAGATCTGAGGGTGGAGAGATGCTGCTGGTTTTGTGTGTGTGGATTAGCAAGGTGCGGCAGTCTAAGGAGGAGTTTGTTGTTAAAGCACAATGAAAGGGGTTGGATTATCTTAGGCCATGGACTCCTGTGCTGCCAGCATCACATTGAGGCTCCTTACTGCAGAAAAGTGCCTGGTCTCTGTAATTAATGGAAAAGGGACTTTTTATTCAGGATGCTGGACACTGGGACCCTGTGGTTCCACCTGCCTTTCCAGTTCCCAGATGGTATTGCCTCCTGGTACCAAGCATGGCATGGCCTAAACAACTGCAGAAGGGACTCACAGCCTCTGGAGCCAAGGTGATGACAAAGATACAACAGTTCTTGCCTTCAAGTGCCTTGGAATGGCTGGGTCTCCTTTAAGGTTGACAGAAGGAAGCCTGGGTCTTGTATCATGGTCTTCCTGGGTGTGGAGAAGTCCCACTACCCTCTGCTGTGAGAGGCCAGGTACCAGAGAGATGGGTCTGAGCTGGAAGCTCGTCCCTGAAGCTCTGTGCTCTGAGTAAAATGGAATTAGTCCCTGAACTGTCTCAAGGCTTTCTCATGCATAGGCTTCACTTGTCGTCCTTGCACAAAGCTTGTGTGGCTGCTCTAATGGAGTTGTTTCTTCTGCCAGTGAAACACAGCCAACCTTTGGGATAGAAACCCTTGCCTGTGCCACGGATCCACTCAATCCGCTCTCCCAGTAGGCTCACAGGATCTCTATGTAGAGATTCCTTGGGAGGGTTCAAGTGGGTCCTTGAGTTGGGAAGAGATGGTGTGTGTTGTTTTAGGTCAATCCGAAGTGCTGGGATATTTGGGGGGAAGGGGATCAACTGACCCGTGACCTCCTTCCTTATCCACCCATCCCCATGTGCTCCTAGTGCCCAGGAAGGGCAGTCGCACAGGTGGGCAATTGCACTGACCTGCAGGTGTATTTGCGGCTTGCCAAATGGAAGGAGCTGCAGTACCTTTGCCTCCCAACAATGCCATCATGGGCCAGTGTAGGAACTGGCTGAGATGATAACATGAGCCACTGCGCTTGGGTGCCAGAAGCTCATTGGAGGCCTCCCCCATTAAAGTCATGTGGCTGTTGATATAACATACTCTACAGCTGGTGTCCTGCATCATCTCCCTGGTAAGTTGGCCTGGGATGCAGGATATGAAAATGTTTTCTCTAGGTGAAGCTTCAAGCTAGCCCAGACAATACCATGACTTCTGGTGTAACAAATGTGAAGGGGATGCGTTAGGAAGCCCAGGAAGTGGGGGTTCTGGTTATGAAGCAGCTGTCTGTGCCAGCCAGCCTCTCTGTAATGCTGCATGATCCAAGCCCTCTAGCGGCTGCCTCTACTGATGGAGCAGGGCCTCAGGTGGTCTGGGATCCTTGCTGAAGACGTTTGGGTCACATGATGTCCCCAGGCAAGGACATTGCTGAGCTGCTTTTGGAAGTTCCCATAGTAGAAATGCTCTTTCCCAACCACACTTCTACACCCATGTACAGGACTGGTGCTCTGGCTGGTTACCCTAGACTTGTGAAAGAGCACCTGCAACTCACACTGGGAGGGTGTATCTTTGCCTCCTCTTCCTGTGGTTGGTTCACATGGCAGGATAATAGTCTACTACAGCTGCCAGCTTGGAGTTATGCCTCCAGCTTCAGCTGTGTTTGTGCTTCTAGTGGCATAAATCAAGCTTTGCTAACAGCCTGAGCTGAGGTGAGTAAATGCCCGTGGTTATTGCAGGGCTGATGGGGCTGCACAGCCTGTGCTACTACTGCTGAAATGCATGTGGAAGCCTGTTATTGGAGGAGCCCTGGAAAGGGCTGGGTTGCGCCCATGGGGTTGCTGCTGTCAGGGCACTTGCGGCATTGGTCTGTGCTTGCTAGTGCAGCGTCTGCCTAAAGCACTGGCATATTTTCATTGGGAAAATGCGTATGTGGAGTGGCACAGGCTTTGAAAGTAGACATGGAAAAGGTAGGTGAAATTCAAGCAACAAGGTCAGTTGTAACTGAGCTGTGTTACAGCCTAGGCAGGTATTTCAGGGGGGATTAGAGCATGTCTGCAGGGTTCTGCGAGGCCATGAGAGCCCAGGCAGTGCATTGCAAGGGGGATTACAGCATGTCCCTGGGTGGTCATGGGGCACCTGAGCCTGACCCCACTCCTAATCCTCTCCCTTTGAAGATCCCAGCATTGCTGGCACCTGCTGCCCCAGCTCTGTGACCTAGACCCTGATTTAGCCAGTGGAAGTGTTTCCATTGATTCTGCCTGAGGCTCCACAGCTATTGGAGGAGCTTCAGGGAGCACCTTAGACTGGTTATTTTATTGCCATCTTCCCTCTGGACCTGCACCTTAGGGGGCAGAGAGGGATTTAATGTCTAACTCTCTTGCCTTCTGTTGCCTTCAGTTGCCTTGGATAATCTTCCCTCAGGCTCTCTGTAATTTGGGGCTTCACTCCTTGATGTACATGCAGGGTCAACTTCCCACCTTTGCTTCCTTTGGTAGGTGGGGAACATGTCCCTCTCTGCTGCTTGGCCTTTCTCAGAGGGAGTGGCCTAGGGTGTTGCAAACAGAACACTATCAGCTGTCTGAGCACTGAGCCACCAAAAGCTCAGAGAGGAGAAAGAAAGAAACAGTTGCAGTGGTGCCTGACCAGGATCAGGACCCCATCAGGCTTGTTGCTGCAGGAGCATAGGGTGAGACAATCGGTGCCCCAAGGACCACAGAGTCACAGGGCATGGGAAGAAGGACAGACTCTTTTCCTCATTTTACAAGTTGGGAAGCAGAGGAAACTCCAGAGGAGCCTAAGGCAGCATCAGCTGGAGTGAGCTATCCTGAGCCCCTTTGCCCATCCCAGCCTAACCAACTTGCCTAGGGCCAGAAACAGAGTCTGCAGAGCTGGGAACTGAGCTCAGCTGTTTCAAAAGGTCCCTTTTCCAGCTGCAGTGATAATGGGATGATGCTTGTGGCTGGTATCAGGCTGGAGTCATGGCCATTTCCCTGCATAGGGGAAAAAAGAAAGAAAGTAGGGGGCAGAGATTGGATTTGGTGATCCTTGAGGTCCCTTCCAGCCCTATGATCTATGCTGTGGAGGCAGAAGCAAGGACCCAAGTGGAAAATCCTGCTATTGAATGAAGTGTCCTTCTCTTCCCAGGCAGCAGGAAGCAGTGGAGATGCTTGTGAGCTGGCAAAGACTGGGTTCAGGACTGTTTGGGGACAGGGCACTCAGAGAAATGCTGATATATATCCATAATTAGGAGTGAGGTAGAGGAGGACAGATATAGAACAGGGCACAATAGACCTGGGTTGTTCTTGCTTAATCTCTGGGAATAAAACTGCTTGCAGCCTCCTTCCCAGCAGCTCTTTGTGATGTCAGTATGACCTCACTTACATGCTTCTAGGCCTTTTCACTGAATTCTGTGGAATAAGCCTGTGGCCTTCATTTGCCAGGCTTTCTTCTGGGGCAGGCCAGAATGGTCAGTCCTATTATGATAGGAGAAGGCTGAAGAGAGGGGACCTTCTTATGGATGAGAAAGAGGAGCAATCTGTCTTGCTTTATGCTGAGGTTGCCTGGGTTCGCTAATCTCATTTTGATTGTGTTTTCCTCTCCCCTTCCAGGGCACTCATTCTGAAACACAGCAGGAAGGACCCCAGGCCAGTCATAATCACAGGGCATCCACCATGACTGTGGTCCTCATCTTTTGGATCTGTGTCATGCGCTGCATTGGAGCTGGCCAGTCCCTCAGGGGGCATGGTTGGGAGAGACCATCTCCTGACCCCATTGTCCAGGACAAGCCATTTGTTGTGGTTTGGAACATGCCCACGACAAAGTGCCAACAGCGATTTGGGGTCGCCTTGCCTCTTGGGGACTATGGCATTGTGGAGAATCAAGGCAATGAGTTCCAGGGACAAAACATGACCATCTTCTACAAGAACAAGTTTGGACTTTATCCATACATCTCCCAAGAGGGGAAACCCTACCATGGTGGGATACCCCAGAAAGTCCACCTCAAGAGGCACCTAGAGCAGGCCTCATTGAAAATCTGTGAGCTTATGCACCAGGACTTCCATGGTCTGGCAGTGGTGGACTGGGAGGAGTGGAGACCGCTCTGGGTACGGAACTGGGGCACCAAGAGATTATACAGGGAGACCTCTGTGCAGTGGGTCTGGGAGAGGTTTCCAGAGTTGCCAGTCAAGAAACGAGCCCTCTTGGCTGAGGTGGAATTTGAGGAAGCAGCACAAGTGCTCATGGAGAGGACGTTGACACTGGGGAAGGCGCTGAGACCAGGGGGCTTCTGGGGCTTCTATGGGTTCCCCAACTGTTTCAACAACAACTGGGAGAAAGAGGACAACTACACTGGCAAATGCAGCCTGCTAGAGATGGCACGAAACAACCAGCTCACGTGGCTGTGGGAGGTGTCCACTGCACTCTACCCGAGCATCTATCTTCCGCCCAAACTGCCAGAGTCTGAGCGCCGGCGCTATGTCCACCACCGCCTGCTGGAGGCCTTCCGGGTGGCACGGTTCAACTTGGAGTGGAGCTTGCCTGTGATAGCATATTCCAGGGTTTCCTATAGGCTCTCCCCCAAATACCTGTCTGAGGTAAGTGCTGAGAAGGTGTCTGCATTGCTTGCAGAGGGTCTGGAGGTTAGACTTGCTTACTCTTGCATTTGTGGAAGTGTGGGGTAGATTATGGTAGGCTTGCACCCTCCACCCAGAGCCTGTGGGGCTGCATTGTAGTTGGGGCAGATGGTTATAAGAGTATGCCAGTACAATCCACATGTCAAGGTAGCCATTGTGTTCGTTCCTTGTGGTCACCCTCAGTGCCCCCCTCACATCCCTGGTACTGTCATGGTTCTATGGCTGCAGAGGGATTTCTTGGACACTGCTGATTAGGGCTGTGTGAAATTTCTCCGGCAGTTTTATTTTGACGCTGTTTCGACTTGTTTTGAGCTCGAAACAACAAAATCGAAATGAAACAGAGAGCTTCAAAACAGCCTCAAAACCAAACGAGGCAAGTCAAAATGTTTTGAAATTTTCGAAACGTTTTGAGTTTCAAAGCTCAAGCTGGGCTTGCCTGCAGGGAAACAGAAACTACAGTAGGGAGAGGGAGGGGGAAGAGTGGGGAAGGTGGGAGAAGGAGTGCTTTCATTATTGACTGTGTAGTTGGCCAGTGACTGTCATCCTTCCCTGAGGTCCCTTCCAATCCCAGTGCTCTGGGGGAGGGATGGAAAAACTACATAGAAGGCAGCATTGTTTGAGCTGCCCTGCTTTCTGCCTTGGTGTCAGTTGCTGAGCTGTGTGTTCCAGTTTTGCCTGTCAGCAGCCAGAGGTCCAGAACCCCTGCACCGATCTCCTCGACAGCTGGCAGGCTTTGTGGCCGCAGCAGGGGCTAGCAGGCCTGCAGCTTTCACCCCGCTGCGCCTTAACACACAGTGTCACCCATGTCATGAGTTTTGCTTGTCCCCAGTTTGAGGTGCAGTTTCCCCCAAAACCCTGCACCTATCCCCTTGAAACTTGGCAGGCTTTGTGGCCTCATCAGGGGCTACCACCCCTGCAGTTTTGACCCTGCTTTGGCTTAACACATACATATGACATGTTTTGCTTTCAGGAGTTTGAGGTGCAGTTTCCCTGAAACCCCTGCACCTAACTCCTTGAAACATGGCAGGCTTTATGCCCTCAGAAGGGGCTACTATTCCTGCAAGTTTCATCCAAATCAGGCCAGAAATGACAAAGTTATAGGCTGTTTTGAGCTTCCCCATTATAGCCTATGGGCAAAGCGTTGAAAGCGCTGAAACAGCATTGAAACAGCAAAACTGTTTTGACCAAACGAAACGGAACAGTGGTTTCAAATTGAAATTAAATTTGAAACGAAACACTGTTCCGTCGAAACGTCGAAATGCAACTCGAAACAGAACGGTGCCGTTTCACTCAGCCTTACTGCTGATGTCTTGCACTCAGGGTGACAGAGACACCATGAATTCACCATACTTGTGAATGGCAATGCAATTGTTGCCTATAAAGTAACATGCCCCAGAGTGCCAGGGGAGCCCAGCAGGGACACAGACTGGGCCTGCAGCTCTTGCAAGTTGAACCAAGAGTCGTATGTTCTCACCCTGGGTCTTACCTCCTAAATCCTGAAGTTGCTTCCCTTGTCTAACATCTTTCTTCTACATTCCTTTCTCTGTTTGGTCAGGCTGATCTGGTTAATACCATTGGGGAGAGTGCGGCCCTTGGTGTTGCTGGCGTGGTCCTGTGGGGGGACAGTTCCTACTCCCATTTGGCTGTAAGTATCCCAGGCAGCCCTGCTGGGCACTAAGCAGCCTCTTCTCCTTTGGTCCAAGGGCCTCACCTAGGTGCTTGGGAACTGCACTAGCCTGTGTGTTTGCTGAGTGGCTTTCAACCTCTTTAGCAGGAATTGCGCTGACTCCTATGGTCTATGTCTCACCTACATAGTCAGAAGCTGCCAGTGCAGTTACCTGTACGGAGAGTGTTCATTGAGGGTTGGGTGGTTGGCTGAGATGAGCTGGTAGGTTCTCAGATCTCTTTTCAAGGGGCAGATTTGCATTTTTCAGAATCAGGCTTCATAATTAGCACTGGCTGCTGCTTTATGTTGACACCCAGCAGGAAGGCTTATGAGGCAGTAGTCACTGGGGTCCAGCTCCCATCCTGCCTTAGCAGTAGGATCCTCAAGGACAGACAGGAGGGGAACAGGGTTATAGTTGTAGAGGAGTTTGTTCTCCAGTGAATCCAGCATCTTTAATGGACTCTTCCTCCCCAGGACAGCTGCAAGAGCCTCCATGATTACATAACCAGCACCCTGGGGCCATATGTAATGAATGTGACAACAGCTGCCCAACAGTGCAGCCGCCAGCTGTGTCATGGACACGGGCGCTGTGTGAGACAGCACCCTCAGGAGCTTGGTGCCTTCCTTCACCTTGACCCAGAGCAGCAGGCAGAGGAGCCTGTGCTGACCAACCACCTGAGCATGGACCAGTTGGGGCATGGGGTGTGGCAGCTGTTTCAGTGCCACTGCTACCACAGGTGGACAGGTGCCAACTGTGAGAAACAGGTATGGACTGAGCCTGTCAGGAACCCACTCTCCATTCTGCCATCACAGAGTCAGGATGTCTGTGTTACAGGGCAGGACGGAAACACCTTACCAAGTTCAGAGGACTGCACTAACTTTGCTTACAATGAGAAGACAGATCTTTGATGATCCTGTTGTCCAGAGAACAGTGGCCCCACAGCCTTCAGACTGTTCCTGGGCTGGGGGCGGCAGGGAGGATGCTGCATCTATTTGCTCATGACAGCTCTTTGTTGGATCTGCCAGCTGCTGGTCTGCTGCTCCAAAGGTGCAGTGAGAGTCCCCATCCCCTCCCCCAGTAATCAAAAGTGTTTCTGCATACAAATAAAATGATCAATGGTCTCACAACACAGGGCAAGGGATGCCAGGGCCCTTATAGCCTGTCACTGAATGCTTTTATCTTGACTGTCTAGGGGTTTTTCCCCTTGTCCCCAAGCCATCTTGTTGTAGCATGCCCAGCCTTGACTCTAGCAATGGGGAGGGAACCTGCACCCTTTTGCCCTGAAAACACACTCCCCTTTGACTTGAGGTAAAGGAGTAATTCCACCAGGGGCTCCTCTAAGGAGACTGTTGTTTCCTATGGGGGCCAACACTAGCAGAGCTGCTGATACTCAGCAGAGTAGAGACAAGCTACCTCATCTTTCTCTGGCTGTGTTGCAGGCAGTGTAGGTTTATTGGGGAAGTTTGGCAGGGACGATGCTGGAGGTATAGAGCAAGGGGAGACAGTGGTTCAAATGTCCAATACCCCTGGGCAACAGCCAGCTCTGGGCAGTCAGAGCAGACTAGTCCCCTCCTCCCGAGGCTGCACAAATGGCCACAATAAAGCTGATCAGAATTTGGGTGAAACATCAAAAATGGGAAATGGAAAACTGCCCCCAGCTCCTTCCCACAGTTTCCTGCCTGCCCCAGGTGCCACCAGAGTACAAGTCTAGGCAGGCTGACACTGCTGTGGAGGGACAGCATGAGCTCAACCTCCCTGTGCTGCCTTCTCAAGTCAGGGTGGGAAAGGGCTTTCACAGCAATACTGGGGAATGTCTTCTGTCACTGTTCTCCACTGACGGGACCAAACCAAGAGCCATAGACTCAAATGCCCTTGATGCTGGCACTTGGTCTCACACTCAAACTCATCATTCCCACCTCTGAAATGGGCCAAGACCCACTTGGGCTTTTCACTCTTAAGTCATCGAGTCATCCCGAGTCTTGTGGCTCTGTTCAGGCAGAGCCAACCTCCTTTCTGCTTTCAATAACACCTCTCGGAAGTTCGGTGCTGATGAGCTCAGACCTGATGCTCCCACAGCTAAAATTAACAGCTGTCCCTGAGCCAGTCCATGATCTCAGAAGAGGGAGAAGATTTCAGTTAAATGCAGCCTGCCAGGATTTGATCTGACCCCCTCTACCTCAGTATACCAATATGCTCCTCTTCCATGTTATGTCTCAGCCCTGTGCCCACAGATGAAATTGGGTGGCTGGTTGTTACATGTGTCTTAGCACAGATTTACTTAATTTAAATAAAACCTATTTAGAACATGTTCCTTTCATTGCTAGCTGAACAGAGGCCTTATCACAGCCAATTTCCTGTACTCTCACTTTCAGTGGGGTCAGGCTGGGAATCCTTGAAGGGAGTTTGGACAATTTGTTACGGCTCATAGACTCTAGGAATCTGCACAGATACTTTAGCTTGTAGCTTTATTTACAGGATGGTATGCAGGTCCCAGGCTGAACCAACAGCCCCGCAAGTGATGGTGTATCACCAGAGAAGGCAGAAAGAGGTGGGTTTTGGCTTTCTGGTTTATAGAGACCACTGAGTTTCAGCATTGTTGGAAGGTTTAAGTGGGGTTTGAGCTTGGTGCCAGTTGTTTGCCTGAGGTGCCTCTCACCGTCTGTGCTCAGCCCGGACAGAACCAAGACTTGTAATAATGTATGTGGGGGGACGCAATTCCACCCAGGGGCTCTCTCCCAGGGGATGTCCTCTATGTACTCCAAACTCCCACTGACAGCAGTAGAGCAGTTTGACCAGAGCTGATTGGAAAAGACAAGGAGGGTGTCTAAGATTAACCCAGGCTCTATCTCAGCTGGAGGAGAGGCAATGTTGCCTCCCTGCAGGACTCCCAGTCCAGGTGGGATTCTCCCATTCGTGGGCAGCTGAGGTGATACATCTGGGCCCATGGGCAGCCCTTCCAATATGAAGGCATAACAAAGAAAGTTTCATGCCAAAGGCAGCATGTCCCAGTGGTCTGAGCAGACTAGGAGTATCCAGGATGCCCAAATCCCACTCAGACATGAAGCCAAG